CTGATCAACGAAGATGAAAGTGCAGCAGAGAAATGAGAAGTGATGATCCCGAAACTGAAATTCAGACCCAAAGTAAAGTGAGAGTTAAAGAAGAACTAGCTCACTGGGAATGTAGAGAAACTTCACATTAAAGGAATTTCCGGCGATAAAAGGACAGACTGTTGGAAGCTGATTCAAACCCAGAAGGGGTGTGACAATGTGGCAAGGCATAGAAAAAGGTGTGCCCTCCGTGTCCTGAGTGACATAGCGGCAGGCGAGCACTCTTCACGCTACGCTCCTATAAATTTTCTTCTTTACAAAGTACTTAATGTTTCTGATGCTATACATTGATTATTTTTTGTTTATAATCAACAGTAAGGCAATTTTTAATAATTTGACAAAAAATTTAATGTTATGGGACAATACTGTGTTTTCTTGATTATTAAGATTGCTTTGCACACTTTCAGCCTTGCCATTATTTTTATGGTTTTGCACTACTGGGCAACTGAGGCCTGTGTGCATGTGTGTGCGTTCGCATGTGCTTATATGGTATACGTAGATTTATCTGTGGCCTTTATGTCAGTGCACTAAAAATATGTTGACGTCTCTCAAAAAGGATGCGTTGGGTTTCATTGTGTTGTGAAGGTCTGATATAGATGTTCTAAGTTCAAATCGTGTACAAATGTTTTGCCTCATACTCACTTTCTCATGTACTGATTCATTTTTTCATTGTGATGATATATATGGTTCAGGATTTTTGAAAACCATACAGATATTTATTGGGTAGATAGCATCAATGTTACTGGAGATATTTTGGTTTAGGCTAGTAGTAACATTATTAAGCACAGGAAATTATTTTTAAGACTATTTAAAATAGTTACTAGGTTAAGGTACTGACATTTGTTGTACTAACTCTGTCAGCCCTAGGTACACAACACACGTGCTGTGTGTTGGTCTGTGCATGTGTGTGTGTAAGTGTGTCAGAGCTGGAAAGTTTTGCTTAATGACATTTAAATCTAGATTCAGACTTGGAGGGTATGACGAATCTGACGAGTCTAAACCCTGTTCCTAAGCGGGATGTGTCTGAATCAGCATCGGACACATCATTTCCAAGAGTTCCTGTGGAGCCTGCCCCGACTGCAGCCAATGGGTATTTTCTGGTGTTAGTCAAAGGGAAAATGGCCACTTTTACTTTTATTGAGAATGTTTGCCTTTGAAGCTGTTAGAGATAACGGAATTTCCAATTTATTTCCGTATCTTAAGTTTCCAAATGAGGAGAAAAAAAGATGTGTGGTCTAAAAGCCACGGTACACCATTTTTATAATTTTAGATCATTTCTTATCATTATGGTTTATAAAAATAAAGAGCCTCAAAAGTATTGAAAACAAAAATTGACATTTGGATCCAAGGGGTTTTTTGGTAAGTAAACCTTTCAACACAGTCTTATTCCCCCCTCTTCAACACTAATAAATGGTTTTTGTGTACTTTTAAATCTGTACGTAAATTATATTTAATTTGTATTTTCATGTATGGAAATTAGAAAAGAGCAGTCAGTATTTGTATCATTTTCCCCATGAGGTTCACTGTGTATGAGAGACTTTTAGTGTTTTTTCCTTACATCTGTAAGATCATTTTCTCTAGGCCTTAATTATTCGTTGCAAACATTTTCATCTTTCTAGGCAGCTGCAGGATTGTGTGTGTGTGTACACACACACACACACACACACACACACACAGGACAGCTGAAGGCAGACGAGGAAATAAATCGCTATGCCAGTATACTCGTCTTTCTCTTCAGCTTTTTCATGAATTTACCACAAGATGGTGCTAGAGGGCTAGGAGGTATGCCTAATAATTTTGCATTTACGAGATGCTTGCACTCTACTGAAATTTCAAAATGTTTGATTTTAAGAAATATTTATTTTTAGAATTAACTTTGGGATATCCCAAAGATTATTTTAAATGTCATATTGATTGCACTGTGTGTTTTTAACATGGTACATACCTAGTAAGTATTTACTGATTTTTTAACTGTCTTCTTAGAGTGTTTAGTTGGGGGGTGGGAAATCTCTATTTATAAGATTTAAGGAATCCCAAACCTTTCTTCCTGTTTTTTAAATTTTCTCCCCAATATATCACATTTCTTTATTTTTTTCTCCAGTGTATCACATTCCCCCCACGGTTATCATAAAATTCCTGTATGTTTAGGCTGTACTATCTTGTGTGCACACACCCAGTTTTGTCTTAGCTATTTAGTCTGAATTTACAGGTTTTCCTTGTTGCCCTTCCCTTAAAACTTTGAGAAAAACGATACTGGTGTACTGTTTGGAAATGAGCATAACACGGTAAGAATAGTATAATGAATGAAGAGAGTAAGGTGCACATGGAAAGATTTGCTACAAATTGGTGTTTTTGAAAGTTTTAGAAAGAATAGAAAAAATTCTTTTTTGAAATTGTCTGAACATATGTTTCATGTTTCTTATGTACAAAAGGAAGAATAACTATGTTATGTATTATTGCCAATGAGTTCCTTAGGCATTAATTTTGAATATAATTCAAAAATTCCATGTAATAAATTTTAGACTGCAGATTATTTCTAAATTATCAATTATTTAAAAAATTTCTTCAATACTAGTATATTTTGTATTAACTTTTGATACTAGCTCAATATTTAATATTATTCCTATTAATATTTTACTCACGTAAATATCTCATTCTTGGTTGGCTGGGATAAATAATTTTTGAGATAACAGTGTGGGCAATGATGTGAAAAATAAGCAGTATAGTTTTGAATTTTTCAACAATTTGTTAAAAAAACGGGACAATATTGTTTTTTCCCCTAAGTTTATGCTTTAAGATATCCCATTAATACAATAATGTAATTTCAAGGAATAAAAACCATCATAACACTAAATGTGCCTACTATAGAATGACCCAGTTTGGGAACCATTAAAATGTGAGAGCTATTTTAAATACTTCTTGGAGTTGAGGTCTGGATTAGAGGATTAAATGACAGAGAAGTCTGGGGCAGAGAAGTGTTTGGTAAATTCCAAAGGGCTAAATTAGAGCCATTTGGTGCTATTAAAAGATGGTAGATTCTTAGTTTGGGGGTTTAAGTGATCATACATGTGCGTGTGCATATTTTGTGCCTATTTATATATGTACACTCACACAGTGAGGTGGGTAATGTTTTTGAGATGCTGGACTGGGAGCTGTGACGTAGCGGAAACAAGGTATGGAAAGACAGGACTAGTTATACCGAGGGTGTTTTTTTCCAGTTGCAACTCTGCCCCTTCACTTCATATAGAGGACAGCTGCTCCTCACCCTGGGTATTATGGGAAGGGTGGAGAAAGGAATTAGCCTTTCAGGCTTTTTTCACATTAGCTGGTGTAAAACATGGCTATGTTATCCTAGCTAGTGGCACACAATTGGGGGAGAGGAGTGGCTATTCAAATAACCAAGTGGGGTGCATATATTCATGTATCGGAGTGCCCGATACGAATTTATGGAATTTATGGAATTGGAATCTTGATGGAGAGATGGATATTTTAATAGAGATCTTCGGGTAATTCTTTTAACCTTTTGGCTAACCAGCCGCTTTGCCAAACCTGACTCATCTACTAGACAGTTAATAGTCCCTGAATTCTGTTCTTACACTTTTTGAGGGTTGTCACTGTTCAGTTCAGTTATTCTTATGCCCTCATTTTTGCTCACTTTAGTGTTTTAGAATTTCACAGATAGTTTAAGAGAATCTAAATAAAATATTGTTCTTTCATATACAGGGGTGTGTTTTGTCTGTTAACCTTAATGTCCTTTTTTGTCGTCAGGCAGGCCTTCACCCCCCCCCCCCCCCCCGCCTTTTCATGCTGCCTCAGCTCCTCATCTAGTGGTAGCAACAAATCAGGCACTTAGGCAACATCTGGGCAGCTGAAGCTTTGGAAGAGAATAAAGGCTCAAGGGTTTATCTTAAAGGAGGAGAAAATATTTTGCCACTTAAGAGGTTACTTAAGTTTTTTGGACTTCATTTATTGAACTCTATCCTTCAACGTAAGGTTATGTTTTCATTTATTTGTTTCTTTGTTTTTTATTTTATTTTTTAAATCCTCATGATATATTTATTGATTTTAGAGAGAGAGGAAGGTGGGGGAGAGAGAAGCATCAATCTGTTGCCCCAACCAGGGACTGAACCCTCAACTTTTTGGTGCATGGGACAATGTTCCAACAATCTGAGCCACCTGGCCAGGGCTAATTTAAGATTATTTTTTTAAACAAATGATAGTGTTTTTTAAGGTGGCGTAAAGCTTAAAGGAAAGATTATTTTACTAATAATTTTCTGAAATACAAACTATTAAATGGCTTATTAATAAACTACTTACGTAAACTTGCTTATTAACCCAGTTTCCATATTCTCTTCTCTACCTTCAGTGCGTGAGGATTTAAATGCAGAATGGGTGTATAATAATGGTACACAAGGTCAGGGTGTTTCATCGTAATGTTCAGTCACACTGTTCTTGCTCCAAAATACATGATTGAATCTTTTCTCACCTACCCCGTACTACACAAGGTCTTTTTTTTTTTTTTAATATGCCATGACACTGAAAAACACAGCCAAGGGGTGATGTTCAAAGGCCCTACATATTCAAAGATGGAATGACAGAGGCCTGGTTGTCAGTATCTGCTCAGTTATATAAATGAGCTGTATTGAGAACAGCATTGTCTTTCCGTAATCTTAAACTTCAAGGCTAGATAGAGTTTTCTCTATACTTTCCTTTCTTCCAAAAGCGGCTTCAGAGCGGCAGCATTTCCTGGGAGAGGGCTGCTGTGCACTGACATTGCCGTAGCTCTTTCTGCTCTGGCTTCTTCAACTCTGAGCCAGGAACCCTGCCCCTCAGCCGCACACTGCCTCTGGTTTATCACATGTTTGGGTCTGCCTTACTAATTTCTGGACTTTCAAATTATACCTAGGTTTCATACCATTTTAGTTATCTGTTTATGCATGTTTGACAAACTGAAGCGAGGATAATCAAAAGAAACATTTATTTACAGTTTGTACATATTGACTTCAACAAAAGAGAGAGGACCCCGTGGCCTTTAACTCCTACACATCAGTATAATCATAATATATGCGGACTTCCGATCTTCTGACACTTTGCAGTGATCTGATGCTTTCGCTCCTTGTTCTGATGTTTGATTTCTTGAATAGTCTTCTTGAAAATGACCTACACATGAAAAAGTAAATTATCGGATCCAGGCACACGTTGCATGCAGACAAGAAAAGTGTCATTTCTTTGCAGTAATACAAGATTTTGTGTGCAGATTCATCTAAATGTCTGTCTAAGTCACTAAAAGTAAAAGGAATTCTGCACAAGTGATAGGGTAGAAAGCAGGTGAAAAACACAGCCACAACCACCCGGATGCTCTGGTTGTGTTTTCGCTTGCGACTTGACTGGCTTATGAACTGCCTGCTGGATTTGTGGATGTACCGGGATATGGCTATGTAGCACCCGATCAGGATCCCCAGCACGGCCACAAACAAGCAGCTGTTGACATAAATGACCGCATTGTGCCATTTGACTCCCAAGGGACTTTTAAGTGTCATGCAGTCATGAATGTTTTCTGTAGTTGGTTGGACGTTTGTTAGGATGATGTTTGGCAAGGACAAAACAGCCATGATCACCCAGACACAAACAGATAAAACCTTCGTGAAGGTTATGCTGTACATGCGAGAGTCCCCAAATGGCTTCACCACCTTCAGATAGCGATCAATGCTTATCAGCCCAAGAAACACGATGGAAGTGTACATGTGTCCATAAAACAAAATGGAAGTGTATCTGCAGAGGATAAACTTGAAGTACCAGGGTCCAAATCCTGCGTCATGGACTATCCGAAATGGAAAAGTCAGGGTCATTATGAGGTCAGCAACCACGATGTTCTTGAGATAAAATATGAAGCTGGTTTTATTCCTAATGTGGAAGAAGATCCACACTGCTAGACCATTCAGCAAGATGCTTGCCACAAATATGATGAGGTAAAGCACGGGCAGGACAATGGTGTCAAACTCATTGTGAGCAGTGGTGTTCTTTCCCAGTCCGTTGCTGGCGTTACTTGCAGCGGGATTCCCTTGGCTGTGCAGCTCCTCATCTGTGGGAGAGGTGGGACAGGCCACGTCAGAGCTGTGCATGCACGCCCCACAGACGCCACGGCGCCCTGGCAGGCTGGGCCGCTGCTATTTGGGGTGACTTTTTCAAAATATCTTTAGTGATATAAACAGTTTAGTACAGTGTTACTATTCGAGTAGCTAAAGAATTGGTGGCCTTATCCCCAAATCTGGCCCCCAACCCCCTACTCCATGTAGTCCCTTGACTAAAATGTGGTATTTCTGGTTCTCTGTACTAACCTTTTGAAAATGAAAAGAAATATTTCAATGAAAATTATCTTGGATTTTAATTCAGTGTTTGATATCATGACAAATGGAATCAAAATCTGGAGGGCAGAAAGGCGAAATTTCATAGCTAAGAGAATCAATTGGGCGGCACATGGGTAATTCCTTTAATGTGGTCTTTGGCATGCTCCCTGAAATATCTTTTCCTCTCTTTCAGTTTTAAGTTATTTGATCATCAAGAATTGGAAAAAAGTCAAATTAGTGGGTCAGTTTGAACTTTTTTTTTTTCTCTTATAGTAGTTAAAATGCTTTAGGGAACATCTTTAGGACTAGAAACAGTTTTAATTGTTTAAAATAATATTGCATGTCAACTATAATTGAAGAAACATTTTAAAATAGTTGTAGGCTGGTACCTATTTTTATTTACAGGATTTTACTAGATTTTACCTACTGCACTTGGAATATGAAATCTTTAAACCTTTTACCGTTTGGGGGAATTCACGTTTTTTTATTCATGTTGTTAAAGACCTATGCGGTACTACTTCGTCACAGAAGCACTGACATGGTTTACGAGCCTTAGATTTACTGTGGTGACGACCATGGAAAGGGGCCTGTGGGGTCTCCTGATGGTGCCACACTTCCCAGGCACTGCTGCCGGCCACTAACTGAGTACAGGAAGGATGCTAAGACAAGCCAGTTCTGAGATGGGAAGGGCTTCTCAGACGAATGACTTTGTTGGCTGGAGGACTCCTCATCAACCTGGTCAAAACCTTCCCGTGCCTTGCAGTCTGAATCACTCTGCTTCTCCCGCCCTGACCCGCTCCATTCTCCCCTGTCTGTTTCCTGGGGCAGACAGGTGTAGCCTGTGACCCCTGCTGCCATGTCCCTTAGGGAAGCTCTTGGCCTTTTTGTCCCACTGTGTCATCTGCTCTTTTTTAAAAACCTGAACTAACACAATTTTAAAATGAACATTTTAGATGTAAGGTTACCAGGAAGGCCATTTCTGAGTTTTTACTTGGCAGTAATTAATAATGTTTGCCAGTTGTATTTTGGAATGATTTTGTTTTAGAGGTAACAGCATGGATTTGGCCCTCATTTCCCTACACGGCAGGCACTGTAGTAGGTCTGTTGGTGTTACTTCCCTTATTTGAAGGAGTGAAACCGGGAAGGTCTGATGATTATAATCCAAAAACAGGTTCTTAAATTGCTGCCTGAAATTTAAGTGTAGGCTGTTCCTGCGTATTCTTGTCCTCTTTCCAATTTGTTCTCTTATTCCCTGCTAAAAGTGTTTTTAAAAACTGGTTTTCCTGGCTTAAATATCTTTATATAGGCTTGTAATTTTTACCTGGACCAGCCTGTGGTGATGATCCCCATAGTATTAGTAAGCTTTACAAGTTTAAATGCCTGATTCAGCGGCCCTCTGTGTTGCTGTCGCCAGTGTCAGAGTTGCCTTGAACAGGTCCTTGGAGCCTGTCCTGACAGAACGAAGTGTTCTGCACCGCAGGATCCACATCAGCGCCCATGTCGTTAGAAGCTTCTTAAGATGTGCAGTTTTACCTGGGGTAACCTATCTGCTTGAATTTATTTCCCCAATTAACTATTAGCAGTCACTTTCATTTAACCCAGAAGAGAACCCTAAGGAAGGTGGAAAGAAGAAAAGTAAGTTTGAACCAGGGCAAGTGGTCCAGCGGAGACACACAGGTGGAAAGGGGCAGCTACATCATCGGAAATGATGTTTGTGCTTGAAACGATTATTGACGAATGGTTTTGGAGCCACTGTAAATGTAGATAAGATGGTACTAAATGTAGCGTACCAGGCAAGGCTATATCAGCCCTTAGAGTTTGCTCACTGGACCCACTCGGCATATCCGTTGTGGAATGGAAGGACCCACGCTTAACTGGTTGGTTAGGGGTTGTGTGCATGTTCAGTATATCATTATAGCATTCAAAGTTTTAATTGTGTAATCAAGCTCTCTTATTAAGGGATAATTTACTGATCAGTTATGGTTATTAAATATAGAGTTTTGAATCGGGATGTTAAAAATGATCCTTCTGTATACTGTGCTCCATAAATGATAACTATTTAGCATGAGTAGACTCATTCCACAGTGGGCACTGAACTGTTTCGTGGCTCTGAGAGAGTCTGGTATTCAGTTTGTTGGTGGTGTTTGCTTCCTTGGTTTATGTATAGGGTTAATATTTTGGAATAAATGTCTTCTAAATTCCTCGGGGTAGGCCTAGACTTGGTTATTACTTCCACAAATCCCACATTTACAATACAGCTTAAGCTGTTAGTTAAAGTCTGTTATGGGTCATTTTGTGAAATAATTTGCTAATAGGGAAAAACTGATTCCTAAGCAGCAGGAAGAGCTATATATGGGTTGCTCTGGAAAGCTCAAAACTTTGATGTAGAGAGTTTTGTCTGATTAATTTTTTAGAACTAAGCCTTTGTCATTCCTAATTTCTTTCTGGCAGCTCCACCACCACCATTTCTTCTCTCCTGTATCATCACCCCAGTGTTTCCAAGGTGGCGAGCATGCTCAGAGGCCTTTGTCTGTGCTGTTCCCATTCGGGAACAGTCACCAATAACAGTGAGTGGCTTTCTTCACTCAGGCAGCTCGGCATGTTTTGCTCCTCACTGTCAGTAGTGAACGTGGCCAGGTCAGGGGACATTTCTAATGCCAGGGAGTGTGGTGCTTCAGTTGAGAGAAACTGGAGGCTGTGTTTTACAGTGCGGAGGTTATTTTCTCACATGCTCCTTGTTTGTTAGGATGTGATTTCCTGTATTACTTAGTGCATACTTTGATACAGAATGATAATTGAGGGTAAACACTGCTTTGTTATGCTCTCCCTATTCCCTCTTTCCCAACTCCTTTGAATTAAATCAACAAAAACAATGACACAGGCACTCTAGTTTCATAGTAAATTGCCATTTTGTGCCAGTGCATGTGTGAGAGTGGTGTTGTGGTGTGTGTTGGTGTGTGGGCTGTGGCTGAATGTGCTGCATGTGAGGGGGACTGTGTGTATCTGTGTGCTGGAGAAAGGCATAGGGTGTGTAGCCAGATGGAGCGTCAGCCGCATTTGGCTCCCCTATCAGTGCAGGGGAAGGGTATTTTCATCATTGCCGAAAGTCCTATTTGGCAATGCTGGTTTTGTCACTTCAAGGCTTTGTAAAATGGAATATATATTACTTTGCTGGACCTTCTGAAAGTTAAATGCTCAGCAAACATTTCGTGCACAGTATCTAGTACTTAATAGGTGTTCACTCTCTTAAGGCACTAATTACAACTTGTTGCATGAGTAGCAGTCGCATTATGAACGACAGAAAGAGTAGTGAAGAATCTTGGTCCTGTTGCTCTTGGTGAAGCTACATTATTGCTCATTCATTGGGGTGTGTCACTCCTGGCATGAAATGTGAACGTATCAACAACACGTCTCTGCTCTACCTGCCAGGCGGGAATGGAATACTAAAGCCACGCAAATTACAGGTTGTCGCTGCCACGGCACAGCCACCCTTGCACGGTCACGCTCCGAAGTTACCACTAGGGTAGACAGATGCAGCCTTTGCCCTCCTCTGGACCCTCAGGAAACCTAGTTCAGACTTATTACCTCTGCAAAGTAATATGTACTTTAGGTATAAAAATCTTCTGCAAATGTTACTCATTTAATCTTTCTTGTCCTTTTAGAGATGGTCTCTAGATGAAACAAAGCTTCATAGTGATAGCAAGTTAAGTTGACCTCAGAGGCGCCGTCCTGCCTGTTTGCTGTTCCATACTTAAAGAAAGTGAGCTAAGTGCTGGTTTATTTTGTTCACTGGTTCAGTGGTCGATAAAATCCCCAAATTGCCACGTAGTATAAATAATAGTAATAACCAGCGCAGTATTCTTTGCATTTCCCCTGTGACTTACCTGGTAATTTTGCAAGTGTTAGGTTGAGCCCCATTCTTCAGTCGTGATGGACTGTCAGCAAAAATACCTGTCAGGAAACATTCGGGGACAGCTGAGGCAAAGGTTCAGCGTTGGTTGTTCCAGGTTTAATTTCTGAGGGAAAAAAGAAAATGAAACAGTTAGTTGCAGAGGAGTCCAAAAACACAATATTTCGATTTTTCCAGTTAAAGAAACACGTACCCTGTCACTACAACTCAGAAAGATGTGTACTCCTCAGACACAAACACCCTTGCCACACAAGAGTTGTCTGTTTTTGTGTCTTCTTTCAGCCAGCATGAAGCATGGACCATTTCTGTGTGTGTGCTCCATCTGAACACCACTGTGTGGCCGTGGGAAAGTCACTGAACGTCTCTGTGACTCAGTGTCCTCATCTCCGAAATGACAGTGTTAATAATTGTGCTGTAGGACTATAATAAGGATTACGTGAGGTCATCAGAACCTGGGCCCAAGAGTGCACTCAGGCCCGGTTAGCTTACGTCCTCCCATTCCTGCCTCTTCCTCATGCTCCCTCCCCACCCCCCACCTCAGCTCATGTAATTATGTTCATATAGATAGGATGGGACTTGGTGCACTGCAGATTGTAGGATACTGGAAAATCTAGCACAATATATGTAAGAGTGTTTTATAAACTCAGATGCAATCAGCCTTCTAATCTGTGGGGTTCTAGTTCTGGTTTTACATTAACCAGCTGTGTGACCTCTACCAAATCACCTGATTTTTCTGGACTTGGACTTTCTGGAGTCTGCAAGCTTTAGAAAATCCCTGTTGGGATTCAAATTTATGTGAGCTTCTATGTTTTCCTCAATCATAGATTCTCTTTAGGAATTTAGTATCACTTGAATGTTTGTCTTG